CTATATTTGTTTTGATTCGCTATGAAAGTTTGACAGATAAAATGAGGGGTTCGTGGATTTTCCTATGTTTCGAGGGGTGAATCGATTAGCTTGGGACCGAAGATAGTACCAGAGCTGAGCCAAAAAGTTGAGCACGTTTCTTCGGGAACTACTAGTCTTAGAGTTACCTCTATGGTAATATCATCAGTCAGAATTAAATGACACAAAGAAACTTTTAAAATTACAGGTATCAATAATCACTATGTTTTCATCAGCTGCACGGTAGCCGTCCCTAAACGATCAAAAGGACACCAGAAAAAAAAAACTACAAGGGACAGCGCGGTGATTGAATGAACACCGGTTGGTGAGACCGGATGCATTTCAACTTTGAAATCTGTGTTAGGGAAATCACTTATCGCAGGCAATCGGTGATAATATTAACTATCATAGCAACAGTTGCACATTCGTGCATTTTTCAATAGCAACATTTTTAAAAATGATAAAGTCTTAAATTGCGTAGGAATATGAGATGATGCGTAGGAATATTTCTGATCGATTGGTGATAAAATTATTGAGATTGGTTTAGGGGCAGCTGAGTTATTAACGTTCAAAATCTTTCATAATTTTGTTACATGTTCCATTTTTGGTTTTCACAAAGTGTATCCCTATATAAAGAAATCACAGACGTAGTCCTACGTCAAAAAAATAACGGCTCATCCCACCATTTGAAAAACAATTGGCCGTTTTCACGGCCAACAATTTAAAAATGGAAGAGATAAGATAATAGATTATCGATCAATTAAAAAACCTAAATGCTCAACATATTTGTTCCGTCCACTAGCGGTCCTACGTCAAGCTTCCGTTCGTGCCCCTAGGCACAGACCGTTCTACTTTTATCTGAGATCTTTAAAAAAAATAGGCCATATTTGATGTCAAAGTTGAAGAATGTAAAATACTGGCCTTGCTTCAAAATACTTCAAATTTTCTTAGTGAAAATATTGACAAAAAAAAAACCATAGTCAGAGAATTCAAATTTTACTCTGTGAATTACGTAGTTTCTAAATAGAATTTGGCGGGGAGTTCCTCCGGTTTTCAGCATTTAAACTACTGAATTGCATCAATTCCTGAAACCAATCATAGCTTTGATATTCACCCATATTCTTGTTTTCGTTCGAACCGTATTTTCCATACAAAAAAACTTTTTTTTTGTAGGGATAATACGGTTCGAACAAAAACGAGAATATGGGTGTTTATCTTTTTACCATATTTAGCTGTTTTTATAAAACCGCAGTGGCGTCGCCTCCACATGTGCAACCTGTGCACGACACAGGTGTAAATGATTTAAAGAAAAGCGCTTAGATTTGTATAGATTTCATGGTCACATTATAGCTATACTTCTTTACTCCAGACCACAAGTGACCATGAATACACTATTTTATAATGTGGCTCAATTAAATCTTCGACCTTGGTTTGCTTCACAAAGGATTGAATTCAGTTCGGATAGTCTGCCTAATCCCTAATGCATTGATTTCTTAGCATGTCGATATCACTCCCATGACAAAACTCGTTAAATATTGCACCTAAAAGCGAGGTTTTTTGGGAGGCGGTGGTAAGTTTGTGAATGGTCAAATGCCTGATGTAAGCCAAGCAGACCTTCTATCACTGCTTGAAACATACCACAAATTTTCCGCAATACATGGCGGTTTGCACCACTAGTTGTAATTAAAACTTTCAGCAGTCACGCGTCAAACGGGAGCAACACGGAAACAGCAGTCTGGTACGCTTTGGACTAGAGGTGGGCAAAATAGCTCGTCTGGCTGAGCGGATCAGACCCGTCCAGCTGATTAAAGGGAGTCGATTATTTTGAACAGCTCTTCAGTTCACCTTTAAATTATAGAAATTTTTACACACATTTCAAACGCGATGATATGATCGACATCGTGTTACACGATGTTACGCCTTTTCTCTAGCTATGTAATCCAGTCAGATTTTATTTCTGATGTTAATTCTTCAGCAGATTTGCTCTCACTATTCTCGGCTTCAGCTCCAGATCATTAGCTCAGATCTGGAGATGGGCTCCCAAGCTGTTCTTTAAACCCGATTCATTCAAGTCAACTGATGACCCGTGGTTCGTTTTTTGGAACCACAGCTCATCAGCTCACTGATATCATAAGTCTAATAGTGTATTCAGATCTGAGCGTGCATTAGCAGAGCGGAGCAGAATTTGTGTTGGAATGAGAGAGACAACTAGTACTTCTCTCCCTCTCGTACATTCGCAAAATCTCGCCCCGCGCGTGAAATATCGCTTAGGACGGAATCCACCTTGATTCTCCAGCACAATTGCTTCCACTATTCTCGGCCTCAGCTCAGATCTAGAGATGGACTCCCGAGGTGTTCTATAGACCCAGCTCACTAAAGTCAGCTGATGATCCGCGGTTCATTTTTAGGAACCGCAGCTCATCAGCTCACTGATATCATAAGTCTAATGGTGTATTCAGATCAGAGCGTGCATTAGCGAAGCGGAGCTCTCTCTATTCTCGGCTTCAGCTCTAGATCATCAGCTCAGATCCGGATGCGGAGCTGAATCGTGAAGAATCGAGAGAGAAAAAGATCCGAAGCGCTGGACGGGTCCGACAGCTGTTCCTAAAAAAAGTGAACCGCGGATCATCAGCTCACTTTAGTGAATCGGCTCATTAGAACAGCTCGGGAGTGGATCGCCCATCTCTACTTTAGACGTTATCATAAAGGGTGATACGGTCAAAATTTGGTCAATATCAACTTGACGTATTTCTTTCAATTTTGCATTTAAAAAACCTGAACACCCCTCATTTTGAAGGTGTGTGTGTGTAGAATGTTGCTCCTATTTTGATTTTGGAATTCACTCTTCAGTTGTCAAAATGCCGTCCAAGCAAGAAGAGCAGCGTATCAAAATTTTGCTCGCGCATCGCGAAAATCCGAGCTACTCGCACGCAAAGTTGGCAAAATCGCTAAAAGTTGCCAAATCAACCGTTACAAATGTAATTAAAGTGTTTGGGGAACGTTTGTCGACAGCCAGGAAGTCTGGATCGGGGGGAAATCGAAAACCGGAAGCCGCTGAGACGACAAAGAGAGTTGCCGGTAGTTTCAAGCGAAACCTTAACCTCTCTCTCCGAGATGCCGCAAATAAGCTGGGTGTATCGTCTACAACCGTGCATCGAGCCAAAAAACGAGCCGAACTATCGACTTACAAGAAGGTAGTGACTCCAAATCGCGATGATAAACAAAATACGACGGCCAAAGCGCGATCCCGGAGGCTGTACACGACGATGCTGACGAAGTTTGACTGCGTGGTAATGGACGACGAAACCTACGTCAAAGCCGACTACAAGCAGCTTCCGGGACAGGAGTTTTATACGGCAAAAGGAAGGGGAAAGGTAGCAGATGTTTTCAAGCACATGAAACTGTCAAAGTTCGCAAAGAAATATCTGGTTTGGCAAGCCATCTGTACCTGTGGCTTGAAAAGCAGCATTTTCATAGCTTCCGAGACTGTCAACCAAGAAATTTACGTGAAAGAGTGTTTGAATAAACGTCTGCTGCCTTTCCTGAAGAAACACGGTTGTTCCGTACTGTTTTGGCCGGATTTGGCATCTTGCCATTACGGTAAAAAGGCCATGGAGTGGTACGCCGCCAACAACGTGCAGATGGTTCCCAAGGACAAGAACCCTCCCAACACGCCAGAGCTCCGCCCAATTGAGAAATACTGGGCTATTGTCAAGAGGAACCTAAAGAAGACCAAAAAAACTGCTAAGGGCGAGCAGCAGTTCAAGACAAACTGGCTTTCTGCGGCGAAGAAGGTGGACAAGGTGGCTGTACAAAATCTGATGGCAGGGGTCAAGCGTAAGGCCCGGCAATTCGGATTTGGAAAAGCGGAAGCCTAACTGAATATTTTTCCTGAATTTTATACTAATTGAACTTAAAAAAGAAATTTAATTTGATTTTTTAAATAAACGATTTCACCGATTTACACGCGTTTTCCCTTGACCAAATTTTGACCGTATCACCCTTTACTTGCAGACCAGTTTGAATGTGTGAGTTTAAATTAGAAGAAAATTTGTGATGTATGGGCGTGCATTTCTGGCTGTGCACTTGGATATCTGATTGCAGCAAAGAGTAAATCTCTCAATTACCGATGGTTGCGTCGAAACTTATGAGCTTCCCCTGTTTTTTAATTCTGATAGTGTTGTTCTGATGAATAAAGAGTTGATTAATTCAAGTTTGCTACTCAGGGGACTCCATGAAATTTCTCTAGATTTTGACACTGTTTTGTATCAAAAAACGTTTTCGGAAGTGTTTGAGGGATATTCTTCATTACACTTCAGTCGAAAGAGTTAGCCTTGTATGATAAAAACGAGAATTAGTTAAGTTTTGCAATTCCTCCTACTTCGGTTAGCGTGAAAAGGGCCATACAAGTTTTGTTTACACAAGATAATAGGCCCTTCAAATGTTACGCTAGGTAATGAATAATATAATAATTGAGAATATGTCCCTCGAATTCATGGAGCATTGAAAAATAAAACAAAAACTAATATGTGGTGGTAAGCTATAACGAACAAAGTTTGGTGCACAAGTAAACAAATGAGGCACGCGACGCCTCTGTAAAACCGGGGAAAATATGCTCGGCACCGGGCATTTTATTTCTTAAATTCAGTGGCCACCCTGGTAAAGGTATTGCCGATGCCATCATTTCAACCAACCACAGAAAGTGCTGAATTCTGGAATGAAATCTGAGGAAATTCTGGTTTAGTTCTAAGAAAAATTTTGAGAAATTTCCTAAGAAATTAAGCGAAAAGTTTCAATTAAATTCAAATGTAATTCAGCATAAGAAACATGCGAGAAATTCAAGATTCCGGATTTGGAAATCTTGGGAAGAATTTTGAGACTGATTCTCCTTCACCTTCATTATACTACATTTCAACTTCAATATGCAATACTCCCTATCAACTGCAGGCGCTAATCCAATTATTTCCTCTCACCTTCCGCAGATCCCCGAACGATCCTGTTAATCACTTTGATCCGTTTTCACCACCGCGAGCGCCAGTCTCTGCAAGTGAGCGAGCAAAACTGGTCAAAAGTGAGTCCAAGCGAAGACGACGTCGCCGAAATTAAACAGAGTTAAATTTTCGAAACGATACTTAAAAATCCAGTTCCAGTGCGGCGAAGAAGGTGGTTGCGTGCCGGTAGTGTCAGTGTGTTATGCGAAGTCCCTGCAGCAAATCACCTCTGCTTTATAATAAAAAATATATAGTTGAGAGACCGAAATTCGCCGCCACCGAGGAAGAAGAAAGATAGCAACATTAACAAAGAAAATAAAAAAGAGTTTATTATTATTGCCAGCAATAATTTCCAAAGCCAGATCTACGTCTTGTTCTTGCTGAGAGAGTGTGCTGTTTGATTTCTCGCCCGGCCGAACAGGGGAAGAGTGATTAAAAAGTAATCTCCATCGTCGGATTGGAACAGGGAAGATCGAGTTTGCGAAAATCAAAAAAATCAGTGCTTTGGTTGATGTTCCTGGTGCCGGAAGCGAAGCGGGCGCAGGGGTTGTCCCAAAACGGTTCCAAAATAGCATTATAATATTGGAGAGGAAAAAAAGTTTAATAATAGAGTGTGAGTGTTTGTTGGAGATTTGAAGTCGCGGTCAGGAGAAAGAAGGAACCGCAAGTGGATCAAGTCTATACCTTACATACCAACCATACGTACGTACATAAATGGAGTGTTGTTTGTGATTTTTTTTTTCGGTGTGTGTTTTAGTAGCGAAGGTTGAATTTCGACGTTTCTGCTGTTTCTTCAAGTTTGACAGAGTTTGTGATTTTGGAGACTGTGGAAAGTGGAAACTGCTGCTGCTGCTGCTGCTGGTGGAACGAGTTTTCGTGTCGTGGTTTGGATTTTAGTGTTTTTTTTTATGATTCGGTACTGTGCCTGAATTTGGCGCTCCTGGAACAAACAACACACTTGAGAGTTGATGCGTTTGTACTGAAGGTGCAACTGCCGAAGGGGATTGTGGTTGCTGCTGTTGGAGAAAGACGTTTTTCGCGGAACAGAAGTCGTTGCTACAGGTGAGTGCGGGTTTTTTTTACGGTTGGAATCACGATGAAGGGCATTCAGCCCGGGGGAACCTGTTTTGGGAAAAGTGGGATACTAATAATTACCAGAAAGTTGGAAATTGTACGGCGTAGCAATTCTACTGAATCCATATATTTTAAAATTAGTTCAACTTTTGTCTCGCAGCGATGGATATCGTTAAAAATTGCCTCAGCAGATTTCATCGAATAATGATATGGAATGACAGGAATTAAGTCGGTTCAAATCGAACAGTTATCGAGAGATGTCTGTCAAACTTAAATCTGCTTCACTCTGCTTGAAACTCTGAACAGAATAATGCTTTGAAATAGTTTCGTTCCTTCGTACTTCTTTTGGTGATCGATGAGTTCAAAATAGAAAAAAGATGATTGGATGAGAGATCTAGAATAACCGTAACAGAGATATCAGTTTACGCAAAAATGTGTAATATTTCAACCTCTAAAAGTAAGCGGAAGATAATTTAAAAGTTTGAGCCGTAAAACTAAAATTTTCTGGCATACCTTACTGCCACTCTTCTCATGTCCTTCCCATAGCGAAAATCAGCAAGCCGAGAAAATCGCGTTTTAACATTAAGTTTGCTTCGTACCATTGCTTCTTATGTGATGAGATAATCAATTTGACTGTCTTTCCTAAAACGAAATTCAGAACCAAGTTGTTGAATTTATACAGTGTTCGCTTTTGTTGTGGGTAGTCGCAGGTAGTCGATGACTACTTAGCTCCAAACCGAAAAAAAGTTTACAAAATACGTAAACTTATATTTCGGTAAAATTTTACAGAAATCTGTAAAATAGTCTTAGTGTGTAGCAAAACGATATAGTGGTTCTCAGAAATTCGTAACAATTGGCAGTTTTGTTCCTTATCAAAAAATATTAGACCCGTATTTTTTTTTATTTTCTCATTAGGGTGACCATTTTCCTGTTAGGGTGGTCCAAAAAATCGATTTTTTCTATTTTTTCCAAAAATGGAATTTTTTTTAAAAATCATAACTTTTGAAACATTGAAGCGATTTTAATGATCAAAATATCAAATGAAAGGTTATTAAAAATACTTTTCAAAAGAAATATATATTTGAAATTGGTGTTTTGTATAGAAGAACTTTGATTGTATTTGTTTCTTATGGTTTTCATGGTTTGTAGACAATGGGCGTAACATGTTTTTATATATTTTTTTGAAAGTTTAGGCTTTTCTACACAACATATCAAAAAATCAGCGATGTATTTTTCTTCGTTTTTGAGTTATGATTTTTTTGAAATTATCATGTTTAGAAATTTTGCTCCAATACGACTAGATTACCCTGCGTCTGCATTGGTACATAGCTGACATAGTCACATAATCCATATTTTCTGCTTCTGCTTTTATAGGCTTGTTTATTCAAAGTGAATACTTCACCAAGTAAATAGCTACCTATACAGAGCACATGCTAAAATCATACGGAAAACTTGGTAGGTAAGGTTCGTAGGTACAATGCATGGTGGTATATTTAAGGATAAACTTAGAAGTGAAATAATCAGTAAGGAAACAAAAGCTCTGTTAATCCAAAGATATTATGTACAGCCAGTGTTTTATAAACGATGAATTTTAAGTGTTTTTGTTGTTGTTGTGCTTTAAAGATAAATCTTACCCAAGCTCTTCAAGTTCATGCGGTGAAGAAAAAAGTGAAATTAGATGGCAGTTCCTTCATATGCAGAAATTGCTGCCTCAAACTGTATAAACCCGCACCGGAAGAGCCCACCGCTGGACCATCCGGAGTTCCTGCTGTCAACAGCCAAGGTGAATATTGTATTTTAAAAATGTATTTACATTGGTAGCCATGAGTCAAACGAGCATGACGTCACATTATAGCATTCTGTGCAACTTTGTAACGTCAGGCTCGAATGTAGTATAGTGTTTACAGTAATGTCAAATATGTTTTTTTAACTTCATTTTCAGAGTCACTAGAAGCACCCAGTTTACAATCGATCAGAAGTACTGACAGTGTACCTACTACTAACGATGATGAAATCATTCAGCAACTCAAGGAAAAGTTTCTAGAAACTCATGATAATAATGAGAAGTATCGCATTCTCACGACTTTGCCTAGAAGCTGGTCAGCATATAAAATAACGAAGGAATTCGGTGTTTCTCAATATATGGCGGATCGGACCAAAACACTACAGGAGGACAAGGGGATAATGACGACACCAGGAAGAAAGCTGAGCAGGGCGTCTTTAGCAGAAAAAACTTTATCACTCATGTGTGATTTCTATACCAGTGACGAAATAATCCGAGCCTGTCCAGGAAAACGCGACATGTCTAAAGTAACTTGAAAGTAACGGAATGTATAATAATATGTGATTTTTCTGAAAACTTTTCATTTGTTGTACAAGACGCTGTACAAGGATTTCATTGGGCAAACGCACAGTGCCTTATACATCCATTTGCTATTTATTATAGAGATGATCATACTAAAGATTTAATGTTTACTAGTTTCACTGCAATCGCGGAGTTTACCAAGCACAACCATGTTTCAGTTCGATTATTCGTAGTTAATTGTGTAAATTTCATCAAGAGTAAGATACCCAGCCTTAAGAAAATTCACTTTTTCTCAGATGGATCAGGCAGTCAGTACAAAAATAAGATGACAACTTTTAATTTGTGCCACATGAAAAAGGATTTTGGTATAGATGCGGAGTGGAACTTGTTCGGCACATGCCACGGTAAAGTTCCATGTGATGCTTTGGGAGGAGTCTTGAAACGAAATGCTGCTAAAGCAAGTTTGCAGGGGCATCTCATTACAACTGCTAAAGAGCTTTATACATTTTTCAGCCGCAGATCATAAAGCGATGGAAAGAAAACTTAAAACCCGTTATAATCGTGTCAAACAAATTTCCGGAACACAGTCATATCATAGTTTTAGGCCAGAAAATGAAAATTATATTATTGTGAAACGATTCTCGTTCTCAGAAGAAGAACATTCTGTGAAACTTTGAAAGTATCTTTAAGCATGTTTTATGTCTACAATAAAAAAAAAAATAAAAAAAATAATGAATTTTATTTCAAACCAGCCATGTGCATAGTTGGAAACCATAAAATTGTCTTATCAAAGCATTGATTCTAGTCCAAATATACGTTTTTTAAGACATGGCAGTCAGTTTTAAAGAATCAGCTTTACAATCAAATCCATTGAATGTTGCAGTTTAACACTTACTTAATTTCTCACTTTAATAATTTGACTTTAATTTGAGGAATGAAAGGAAATGCTGGGAATTTCCGTGAAGCTCCATAAATAAACTGTGGGAACATAAGGGAAGTTGAAACGCTGACAATATGGGGAACTTACTGGAAGCTTTAAGAACCTCACAGCTGTTCTTTCAGCATCCAAACATTTTCAGGAAGTTTTATGAAGTTCCTAGAATGTCAGAGAACTTCACAAGTGTCAAGCGAACCTGAAAAATATAGGTATTGTGCAAATTTTTGAGAAGTTATAAGCACCTTAGAAAAGCTAGATCTAGAGATCTTTGGGGAATTTCAGAACTTAAGAGCAGTTAACGTAACTTTAGTCCAGACTTTTGGAGCAGTTTAAAGATGTATAATCGTAAATTTAGAACAATTCAGGATAGTTCCATAATGTGCTGAAGAAAAAAAATCGCGAACACTTAAGATGTTCCGAGAATTTTCGGGAAGTACAGAGACCTTCAGAGAATTTATGAAAACTTCAGAAATATTTCAAGAACTTCACAGAAGTCCAGAGAATTTCAGGGAAATTTAAAGGTGTTTACGGGAATTAATTTTTTTTTGACGATCAGAACCGAGATCTTCAATATAATTGAGAGCTTTAGGGGAGCTTCGAGAACATCAAGAAAGATCAGAAAATCAAAGGGCAGTTCAAATAATTTCAAGGAAATTGTAAAAACCGTAAAAAGTTTCGAGAAACCCAGGGAATTTTCGGAAACTTCAGCAAAGCTCCGAGAGAATTTCTGGAACGTGATAATAATTATATGAATATCCGGAAAACGTGAGAGTTTTTTAAGGGTGTTACATCATGGAGATTGCAAGAACTTAAAAAAATTGCGAAAATTTAGCTAAGATGATAAGAGAACATCAACAAAGTTCAGTGGCGTCGCCTTTACCTCAATCTACCTGTGCACCAACTCTCAAAACATAAACAATTATCAACATATTGCTTGCAATGGATAGATATCGAGTTAACTAGAAGATTAAGTGTGTTTTTCAACCGATTCGAGTATGAATATGGCATTAAATCTGTTTTTGAAAGTTTGTGCACAGGTAAAAAGTGAGGTTACGCGACGCCATTGACAAAGTTCCATTAATTAATGCAAAATGTGAGAATTTTAGCAAGCAGCGATATCTTCAAGAAATTCCAGAGAACTTCTAATTTATTTCGTTATTTTGAGATAGTTTCATGATATTCAGCGAAGTTCCGAGTGCCTCGAGGACGATCAGATAGCTTCAGAATAATTCCATTAACTTAAGAAAATTTGCAGCGACTTACAGGGAGTTCCGTGGAATTATGGGGTATTCCAAGAATTCTACGATTGATCCGAAAACGTCAGAAGCGTCAGGGAATATATATCAGAAAATTTGCCGGATTATTAATCAAATTTAAAGAACTTCAGGTGGGCATAGATAAGTTCAGGAAAAATCAGTGAGCGTTTATAATGGTTATAATACTTAAGGAAAATTGTCGAAACTTCAAGGCACATCCATTTATTTCAGTAAAGTCGCTGGTTCTTAAAAACTACTGATAAATTCAGGGCAGACTAGAGAACTTCAAAGAAATTCATTAATCGTTTTTGCAATACAGTCTAGACTATTGAAGAAGTTTTAAATTAGTGTCGATAATTTAAGGGCTGTTCCATGAACTTCAGAAAAATCTTGAGAACTTCAGTGAAAATCATAGAACTATATTAACTATTTCGTTCTAATTCCATGAACATTTCGGGAGCACAAAAGTTCAAAAAATTCAGAAAAACTT